GGCCCTCCGGGGGGCCCCCCGGGGGCCCCGAACTCCCCCCGCGGACTCCCCGAATTCGAACAAGTTTCCTCGCCAACGTGGCCCTCCTTCTCCAGCCCCAACAGACCCGCGGGCTCCACCACTCCGGCCCCAGCCTCTGCGCCCCCCCGCCGCGCCAACACCCCCTGGGGGCCCCCAGGGGGGCCCCCAGGGGCCCCCAGCGGGCCCTCCCCACAACGGGGCGGGGGTCCGGCGGCCGCCAAGTTGCCGCTGCTGCTGCTGCCCAGGGAACTGTACGCCCCCGGGACCGGCTGCTGCTGCTGCTGCAGCGCGAACTGCTGCAGCGGCTGCAGCGGCTCGAAGCGGCGAGAAGAAGAGCCGTCGAAGATCTCCTCGTCTGTGTCCTCGCTGTAGTAAGGAATTGGGAGGCCCCCAAACTCGGGGCCGGCAGCGGCGCCGCGGGGGTCTGGGGGGGCCCCCCGGGTTTGTTTGGAAAGCATTCGAAGTTGCTGGAAGTTGAAAAGAAGAAGAAGTCAATTCAGCTCGAGTTCAAACTTCGACTAAGATCTTCAAGACGCGCCGGGGGACCCCCGACGCGCTGCACTCACTCCCCGCTGCAGATGGATCCTGCTCCTGCTCCTGCTGCTGCTGCAGCGTGGCTCGGGTCTCAGTGTCACTCGAGGGAGGGGCAGGGCAGCAGCAGCGCAGCAGAGGTTTCCCTCGAGAGATCTCGCTTGTCTTTCCTTGGCTTTCGCGTTTAAATTCATTTTAAACGCTTTCCCCGCAACAGCAAAACAATTCGCTGCTTGCTGCGCTTGCTGCTGCTGCTGCAGCGCAGCAGCAGCACCGCTGCAGCAGCGCCAGCAGCCCGGCGAGGCGGCTCGCGCGGTGTCTTGCTGTCTTGCTCCGCTGCGATGCTCTCTCTGTCCCGCGGCGCGAGTCTTTGGTGTTTCTCTTCGAAATAAAAAAAAGAAATAAAAATTCATATTAAATTCAAAAAAACAAAAACGGTATTTAAAAGAAAACTCCAGCTGCCCTCCCCAGTCTCATCAACCCCGGAGCCGTCCGGTCTGCAGACACCAGACCAGCGTGTACGTACACCTGAATGTACACGGAGGTTAAAAATGCAATTTAGGGTTTTAATTTGCAAATAAATGTAAATTTAAATTTGTTGAAATGTTATTTGCGGACTTGTTTGCTATTTGCGATGTGCCTCTTCGCTCTTCGCCGCCAGCTGGTTTGAACTGGCTGAGTAGGTAGACACACTCAGCAGGTGTACGTACACCGGGAGTGTTGCACGGATTTAATGGATAAATGGACTTCGTGGAGATGAATTTGAATGTTTATTATTTCATTTAATGTTTTATTTTGCAAAGTGTGCAGCAATACCTGTCCTCGCTTCACACGGCGCCAACTTGGGACAAACGACCGAGTCACCTCCCCACCCAGCTAAAAAACCAGCAGCAGCAGCAGCAAGAGCTGCTGCTGCTGCTTCTGCTGCTGCTGCTGCAGCGAAATGGGTGGAAATGAATGCCCCAGAGTTGCAAATCAGTGTCTCCCTGCCCACTTTTGCAATACTTGAATATAAATGGCCTCTTATCAAGTCCATTCATATTCAAGTATTGCAGAAGAGACTCCATAAATGGCTTATTTGTCTTTTTACTTTTCCAATTTCATATTTTCATCAAAAACTCCTCTAAGGAGTTCTGTGGGCACTTCCTCAAATTCAAATTCAAATTTGTTTGCAAAGAGACGCGCTGCAGCCACGACTGCACTTGTCCTCAAATTGAAATATAAATAGATAAATAGAAATAGAATTAGAAATAATTTATTTTAATATAATTATAAATTTATATTTATATTTATATTCAGATTCAAACTTGTGCTTAAATAAAGTGGAAATGCACAAACCGGTCTTCGAGTACAGAACGTGAATAGAAATGAGGGAGTTCTACACAACAGTTCTGCTAACACTTTGCATTATATTTATTTGAATTTATATTCATAATTATTTTTATTTATATTCATAAATATATATTTATAAAAATAATTAAAAATATAAACAACTTAGTTGTGCAAAGTGAAGACTCCGAGCTCCATTTATTTTTCAACTGCAATAAGAGAAAATTAACTTCTTAGAAAAATGAAGTGTCCCTACAGGGACGCCCTTCAAGTGCTGGCAAGCTGTGGCTAGCTGCATCTAGCTGCAGCTAGTTGCTGTTACCCGTGGCTAGCTGCAGCTAACTGCGGCCAGTTGCTGTGACCTGTGGCTAGTTCCGGCTAGCTCCAGCTAGCTCCAGCTAGCTGCGGCTAGCTGCCACTATCTGTGGCTAGCTGCCGCTACCTGTGACGGCTACCTGCGGCTAGCTGCCGCTACCTGTGGCTAGCTGTGGCCAGCTGTGGCTAGCTGCCGCTACCTGTGGCTAGCTGCGGCTACCTGTGGCTAGCTGCGTTGCAGCAGCAGTTTAAGTTGGAGCTAGCTGGCCAAGGGGAGCTTCGCCGCGCAGTCGGGGCCGCCCCTCTGCTGCGGCTGCTGCTGCTGCTGCTGCTGCTGCTGCTGGGCTAAAGAGAGCTGTTTCGGGCTGCTGCTGCGTCGGTGAGCCCCGCGAGCAGCAAGAAGCCTCAGACCCCCCGATTGAAGACTGCTTTGAGAATTGGTTTTCCGTCTTCTTCTGCTTTTTCCTGGATTTCCTTTTCGAGTTCCGAAATGGAAATAGTGCAGGAAGAAGGAAATATTCCAACGGCGAGCGGCAGCCCCAAGTTCAGACAGCCGTAGACGACGCTCAGCTGTGTGGAAACCTGATCGGAAACGGCAGAAAAGTGCGAAAAAGGGCATTTAAAATGCAACAAAAGACATTTAAAATGCAAAAAGCAATATTTAAAACACAAAACTGACATTTTTAATGCAAAGTGTCGAAGAAATTCACAAGATCGGATGGCCAGAAGCAGCTCGGGACAAACCCCCAAGAGGAAACCAGCCCGGCGATCCGCTCAGGACTCCAATAAAAAGATCCGCCGCACCTTTAAAAAGGAATTTGAACATAATTTCGGAAATAAAACATTAAAAAAGGATATTAGTGGGCCCGGAAGCAGCAGCAGCGGAATTGGCATCACTGAAGGAACGCACACCCAGAAAGCACACGGCAGCCGCAGGTGTACGTACACCTCAGCAGCTGACACGCAAGCGGCCGCACTGCCTAGAAACGTGGGGAATGCCCAGCTGCTATTACTGCTGCTGCTGCGGCTGCTGCTGCTGATGCTGTGCTGCTGATGCTGCTGCTGCTGCCAACTGTTGCCTTCCACTCGTGGGGTGTTCCCCTTTCCCGTCTTTCCTCACCCCCATTCTGCCCCACCAATGCCCTCCCCAGCTGTACCCTCCCCCCACTAGGGGGCGCCCCAGGGGCCCCCCAGGGGCCCTCCAGGGGCCCCCAATGGTCCTCCAGGGGCCCCCCAGGGGCATCCAAGGGGCCCCTGAGTGGGTGGGGAGGCTTAAAATGATTGGGGAAGAGAGTTGTGTGGGAGGGAACTCACCAACTCTGGAAATTGCAGTTTGAATGACAGCTTCTAGTCCAGCTCGTTTTGAAATTCCGAGAAGTTTTCCTTTTTCGGAATAAACGGGAATTCCCTGAGTGTACGTACACCTCAGGGGTGGGGGAACTGGAAGTGGGGGAGTTTTGAATCAGAAATAAAACTCTGAAAAGATTTCAAAAACTGCTTACTTGCGAACACTCCTGCCAACGCATCAGCAGCAAATTGGCAGCATTTGCTGCTGCAACCGAAGCAAAGGGAACTGCCCCCTGCAGCAGCTGCTGCACCAACTGTGGGGCCCGCAGCCTCCGCACCCACGAATTCAGCCCCACAGCCAGCCCCACAGACACCACAGCTGCTGCGCTGCAGCAGCAAACAGCAAGCAGCAAGCAGCAAGCAGCAGCCATCAAGCAGCAAGCAGCAAGCAGCAAGCAGCAAGCAGAAAGAAGCAAGCAGCGGGTAGCAAGCAGCAAACAGCAGGCAGCAAGCAGCAAGAAGCCAGCAGCAGGCAGCAAGCAGCGAGCAGCAGCAGCAGCAGCAGCAGCAACACGGCTCCCGAAGGGCTTTCAGGGCCTTCTTGTGAGAAAAGTAATTTAAGGAGAGAAACTTTTATTCTAGAAATTGAATTTGGGACTCTTGGATTTGTTGAGTTAGTTGGAAGCAGCAGCTTGTGCTGCAGCAGCAGCATTTGAATGTGGAGAGTCTGTTGCAGCAGCAGCAGGAGTCACCTGTAGCCGCGGAGAAGGTTTTGCTGCTGCTGCTGCTTATTTGCTTCTCCACTTTTGTTTCCATTTGCATAATTGAAAGCTGCGTTATAAGTCTGGTTCACCCACTGCCACAAAATGCTGTTCCCCACTGTCGGCGCGCTGAAAATTAGGCCTGCGAAACAAGAAAACAACGTACCTGCTGCTGCTGCTGCTGCTGTTGATTGTGTTGCTGTTTCTGCTACTGCTGTTGCTTTGTTGTTGTTGTTGCTGCTGCTGCTGCCGGTTTTGTTGCTGTTGCTGCTGCTGCTGCTGCTGTTGTTCTTGCTGCTGCTGCTGTTGCTGCTGCTGCTAGCTGCGGCTGCGGCGGGGGGAGATAAACGCACCGGCACAGATGGGGAGGTTGACGGGGGCGAAGGCGGAGAGGCGGAGAGGGAGAGGAATGATATCTCCGGTGCTGCTGCTGACAGAAGCATTGGTGAGGGCTATTTGGTATTTGAGTTCTTTTGGAGAAATGTTTTGCTGCAGAAGTTCTCTCCATTTGCCGGAGTCCGCGAGAGTCTTGACTTCTTTGGCCTTTTCAATCTCAGCTTTCGAAGCAAACATGAAACGCGGATTCATGCAATCCCGAAACGAACGCACGCGGCCCCAGTAGGTATTCTCGGGCCTCGCCGCCTCCTGAAGAGCTTTTTCAAGAGCCAATTCGGTTTCCATTTTATTTCGGGGATTTATAAAGTGTAAGGGAGGCTGCAGTTCGCACACATGTGCTCAATAGGCGCGGTCCGCTGGGCTTGCTTCTGCACACGCCCGCTGCGGATGTCTTGGCTACGTAGGCGGCGCTGCTGCGGAGTCACCGTATACTTAGTAAATAGGAAAAGGGAAACTGCACTCTTTAAGACCCGAAAATAAATGATTAGCTATAACGCGCATAAAAGGGAGAGGGCTGGGCAGACTGCGTGGCATGCGGCGCTGCGTGTACACCGCGAAGGCGAAGGCCACAACCTGCAATTTCTGAGTTTAATAGTGAAAAAAGGAGTTTTCTTCGAGATAATATTGCGAAATGCAATATGCATTAAGATATATCTTGAAAAGGCCAGGCGACGCTCTATCGCCGTTGGGGCTGTGGTCATGCGAGAAGCTCTCGCTGCCGTCCCATCATCAACGGCGGAACGGGCGGCTGATCTTGCAGGTTTTTGCGGCTGGCTTGGCGATTTAAAGATATTGAGAATTATAAAAACGGAAAAGGAACATAAAGCAAGCCTTGAAAGGGCAGCGGAAGAGGTTTTTCGTCGGGTTTCCCCACCCTGAGCAGCAGCCGAGCCGCGCGAGGATGTTTTGGTCAGCATTTCTTCAATGCGACCCCAACTCGGTCTTCTTCGGGTTTATGGGGATTACTTCGGCAATAGTGTTCGCAAGTAGGTTAAAGTTCGGCGTCGAGTTGTTCGGAGCCGCCCCGGGAGCCGGACAGAGGGGTGGCTGCAGGGGTGTAGGGCTGCTCGTTCAACTCTGCGGACTCAACACATCACCCCAGAGGCCGTTTCCCTTTTGAAATTGCCTTCTAGCCTTCGCAGCTGCTTTTCTGTTGGCCCTGAGCGGGTGCTCCAGGGCTGGACACGGGGGCCCGGCGCGCAGAACTGAAGGGGCGCTGCTGCAGCTTCTCTTGCTAGTTTCGGCTGGGTCTGGCCGTGGGGGTGGCCAGCGCAGCAGGGGCAGTTGAAAGGGAAAGAGCTGCTGCTGTGGCGGCCCAGGGGACGGGCCTTTTCCGCTGCTTTCCCTCGAATTCGCTGCATGCACTGCTGCTGCTGCTGCATGCAGACCTCGGCGCGGCCTACGGCACTGCCAAGAGCGGCGTGGGCGTCAGCAGCGTCGGAGTGATGCGCCCAGATCTGATTATGCGTTCCATTTTGCCGGTCATTATGGCGGGTATTTTGGGCATTTACGGGCTCATCATTTCCATAGTCATTTCGTCTGTCAGTGAGTTCCTGCTGCGCGGAAACTTGCAAAAGCCCGCAAACTGGGGCCCCAAAGACCATTTTTGGAGTTCTTTTCATCTAGTTTAGCCTCTAAGTTTCATTATTTTCATTTATGCCGGTTCTTTTGCGGGTTTGTTCGTGTGTTTCTGCAGTGGGGTCGCCGGACGTCTACTCGGCTTACGCAGGTGCTGCGGCTACCCGCTGCCGCTTCCCGTTTCGCTTTCTTCAAATTAAAGTCAAATTTAATCTTTCTAAATCAATCGTAACAATTATGTCCAGACAAACACAGTAAGGAGCATAAGCGGGACTCAGTGGCTGCTTCTGCTGCGATTCCAGGCTTCGGCCATTTGGCTGGCGGGCTGGCCGTGGGTCTCAGCTCCCTGGCTGCAGGTCTTGCAATTGGAATAGTGGGAGACGCGGGTAAGTCGAATTGACTTCAATGGTGTATTTTCATTTATATTTATCGTTAAATCGCAGAAACAACGTTCTTAATCGGGTGATCTCGCCGCGTCTTGTGCGAGTTTCCCGTTTCTGAACTCTGCACCGTAGCTTTCTCGAGTGTCTGTTCAACTTTTGAATCCGCAGGTGTGCGCGCCAATGCCCAGCAGCCCAAGCTGTTCTTCGGTGTTACTCTTATTCTCATTTTCGCTGAGGCCATTGGCCTTTACGGTGAGTTTTGATATTCCCATTAGTTTCTTTTCGGGGCATTTGCTGCGGCTTGAGCTTGGCTTTTCGCGTTTTGCTGCTGAGGCAGAGGCCGCGCCGCGGGGGTTTTCGTTCAGGTCTGATTATTGCGCTGGTCATTGTCACGCGCAAAGTCGACGGGCTCTGCACGAGCTACAAGGCATGAGCCCCGACAGAGGAGCCAGAGACGGCAGCTGCTGCTGCTGCTGCTGCTGCTGTCTTGCGCGGCGGGCTGGCGCCGCGTGCAGCAGCTGCAGCAGCAGGCCCACGTGCGACGCTCTCGCATTTCCGTCTGCTGGACTTCTCAAAAAAGCTGCACTGAAACGCGCATGCAGATGCGCGGCAGACAGACAGAAACGGCAGCTGCTGCCGCTGCTGCTGCTGCCACTTCATAGGTTCGTGTCTTCAGCAACAAAAGACCATTTCATTTCGCTGCTGCACCCGCTTCTGGGGTGCTGCGCTGCGGTGGGGAAGCTGCTGTCGCTGCAAGCGACGGACTTGAACTATTTCGCCCAAACTGACTTCTGGCTACGCCGCATTTTAAAGGGCGCCGTTTCCTTCAGGGCCCCTCGTGGCTGGCCCGCAGCAGCAGCAGCTGCTGCTGCGGCAGCAGCGGCAACAGCTGCAGCAGCCGTATGTGAAGACGGGGGCGGTGCAGCAGGTCTGGAAGTTAGGGTTCAGAGGCTTATAGCTTAGTGGATCCACAACTTCACACATTTAGTCTAAGAATAGCACTTTTTATGAAAAGATTTGTCCACATTCTTACTGCTCAGCTGCGGCTGTGTTGTTTTGCCTGACATAAAGAGGAAATGCCCGTATATATCGGCTGAGGAATGCCACGTTAAGAGCCTATAATTAAAAGCCTGTTTTGAGTTGGAAAGATGAGAAAATAATAATTTGTGTTTGGGGTTGGCGAGGATTCCTGGCGTTGCTGCTAATACTCTGTATTGCTGCTAATACTCTGTAGTGTGCGGAACAAGTGGCGAACACCGGACTTCGTTGCAAAATATTGCAATTCGCAGTTAAGAAATTATATTCTTTATTTTGGGGAAATGTTAATGCGCTTTCCGCGCTTCATTTTAGTGTTTCTTCGCCGTCTAAGATGAAAAAGTTCATGTTGATGTCTGCAGGGCTCAGGCCAACAAGAGTCGATGGAACGAAAACTATTAGAAATGGGATAAGCATTAATTCATCTGCTTCCTTTTATCAATTAACTTCTGGCTACCTACGTAGCTTTTGTCTACTCGAATTGCATTTCAAATGCGCCTTCACTTTTTGAGCAGCTGAGCCCAACTCTCATCCCTTGATTGAAGGGGCAAGCCAAGTAGTATTTTGCATGCTTGTCATCTTTGCACAACACCGCAAGTAGGCTTTCTCACCCCATCTGCAGCTAATCCTTCACAACAATAGCAGCAGCAGCAGCGGCAGCAGCAGCAGCATGCTCAAGGGGAGCAGTACCTGCTGCTTCTCTCTTTACACTCCCCCGAAATACCTCTGCAAATGCAGAGTTTATTGGGGAACAAAGGGGACGAAAACTCTGCAAAGACTACACAGCTGCAGGTTATCGGGGCTTGCTCTGCAGGTGACTCACCGGACTTGAATGCCATTTGCACAGTGCCCGTTCTACGGCGACAGTCACAGCTCTTTATGGTGCATCAGTGGTCAAAAGCATAAGTATTTGAGTAGATGATAAAGCTGGAGGAAAGATTAAGTATAGATTAAGAACAGAGGCATCAAGTGATGGGACGTTAGTAGGAAAGGTGAGACGTGAAGCACAGTTTCACCATTTTATGCTGACGAGAGCCGACAGAAATTGGCTTAAATTTATCTCTATTGCATAATTTATTTCAAGTGAATCATGGCTGCGCCTTGGGAGGCGCGGCCTGTCCAGATCTGAACACGGAAAATTATTTCTTTACTTCATTTTCAGCCCCCTACCAGTACTGTCTGCCGCGTCCAAGACTGAAGGCCCCTGGAGGTTCAAGTCTGGAGTCTGAGTTGAGTTAGAAGACAGCGCCACTAGCTGGCGTTCTGGTTGAGTGCTGATGGCCTGAAGTACAGCAAAGCAACTTTACCTGCAGACGCTGCTATCGCTGAAGCAGCAGCAGCCTGCTGCTCCCGAAGCAGCAGCAGCCTGCTGCTGCTGCTTTCAAATGCAGATGAAGATTGCCCTCCACTGCCAGAGCTGCCTTGATGGAGATTTGCCGGAAGCATTAGATAGCAACCGTGGCAGGCCACAATGCAGCAGCAGCAGACGCAACTGCAGCAGTTGCTTCTGGTGTGCGCAGCCTAGGCAGCAAAAGCAGCAACTGTAGCAGCACCAACGAAACAAATAAGCAAATGCCACTAAATCTTCTTGCGGGTTTTCCTCAAAAGGAAAGTAAGCAGGGATGCAAATGCCATATGAGGCTCTTGCTGCTCTCTAATTAAGTGCTGCCCTAAAATTTAAAGCCATAGGCCGACAGCTACATCCAAGTGTTCAGTGTTTCGCAAAGCTCTAAGGAATAACAAAAAAAAAGTGTCCTGAAGAAGTACATCTAAACTAAATCTAAATCCTTTTATACGGCTCATAGAGTTAACGTCCAATCTGCTTCTGGCCTCAGTTGCTGCTGACATGAATTCTACAACAAGGGCGCAGCAGCCTACCTTCATAATGCCATGGGCCTTCTCAACACTGCAGCAACTTGAAAAATGCATGCAAGACTGCTTTCTTCTTTGGCTCATCTAGCTGTGACACTGTGAATAGCATTTGTGGGGTGTTGCAGCACCTAGCTGCAGCCACCCGTCGTTCCACTTACTGCTAGCTGGCAGCAGCTGGGGACTGTTACAGTCACTAGCTGCAGCTAGCTGCTGCACCTGGCCTTCTGGAGGAGCTGCAGCAAAGGTGGAGCAGCCAGTGGCACCAGCTGCCCAAGTTGGTGCAGCTTCGGCAGGATAAACTTGGAAGTTTGCAAAAAGAGTATTTGTGATACTTCACGAATAGAGGGAAGTGGAAAGAAGATACAACAAACAGGCGAAAAGAAAACTGTAGCTCAAAACGAATAATTTGTAAACGTAATCACAAGAAGCAGCGCTGCTTTCAAAGCCCACAGCAGCAGCAGCAGCAGCGACTGAGCATTCTATTAGGATGAATGGCCTGAGGAGTGAATTAAATAGAGAACTTCAGAGGGATAAACTAACTTCACATCTGGACAAAAAATAAATTTCTTGAACTATTCGAATCAAATTGAAATGAAGTCTCGACCTCGTGAAAGCGGATCGAGTCTTCCGAGGAAAGTTCAAATGCTCCAACTGACTTTTATTCAAGAATCTAAAGAGAGTAAAGCATCAGCAGAAAGCCTGGAGGCGGCGCTTCCCTTTCCGCTTCCTGCTGCGCCTATTTGTGCTTTAAATGCAGCTGATCAGCCCCCGAAAAGGATTTTACTTGTAATGATGTTGGCAGCTGCTGGCGCTTGTCAGTTCAGCTTTTGCGGCGAAGTCTTTTCAGCTTCGTTTGCTCTCCAGGTGACCTCCACCTGGTCCGTGCGAAACCTTTGCCTGTAGAAACTCCTGCTGGGCTGCACTGTCTGGCCGCACTGGTACATCAGAAGACCCACGTAGGCAATCATGGCCCCGTTGTCAATGCAGTATCTTTCGTCCATTCCGCCCATCGAGCAGCCCCGCTGCCGGGCCATTTCCCGCAGCATTTGCTGCAGCCGCAAGTTGCACCCGACGCCGCCCACTACCTGCAGCAGCAGCCCGCAGCAACAGCCTGGAAAGCTGCAGCAGCACCAAAGACTTCCTCAGAGTCATAGGGCAGCAGCAAGAAATAAAGTCTTTCCAAGGCTGAAATATATTATTTGATCTACTTATTTGCAACTGCAGAACTCCTTAACAAATTGTTTCAGGCTTCTGTTCGAGACGACAGAGTGCACTGCGATGTGGACTGCCGCTGCTTACCAGCACATCTGAACTGTGCGAAAGCGCCATCGCTCGCTCCGTAATTTCAACCAGCATTCCAAAAAGATATTCTTGCAAGGAATAACAAATGGATTCCGGAGTGAGAAGCTCCTCGGGGATGCTGCTGTCTGCGCTTTCTCGACTGGGATTTCCCCTCTTGCGCAGCTGCCCGCCACTGCGCTTTGTCCTCATCCGCTTGGCCATTTCTTCGGCCACTTCCGGCCGTCTGCTGTCAGCCGCAGCGCTCTGAGACTCTACTGCGGGATCATCACCAGCAGCAGCAGCAGCAGCATTCTGTCTAGACTGGGCGTCGCTGGAGCAAGGCTTTCTCGCGCGGAGCTCGAGCATGAGATGAACGGCCTCTTCCGCCTTAGTTAACACCCCGCTGAAGGCGACGTCCATGCCCTTTACATTGTAGCTGAGAGGCAGCAAAGGGGGAGCAGCAGCTTCGGGGTGAGTGGCCCGATACAGCTTTTCGAACTTGAGGGCCATTTGCTCGACTTGGAAGCCGGGCGCGGGGTCGTTGGGCAGGTGCAGCAGCCGCGCCACTCTGTCTATGCAGTTGCCAATTGCCATGTCCAGAGTTTCCCCCAAGATCCTGTAGCGGCCTTCGCTGTAGCCAATCACTTGTGTGTTTCCCCCGGACACATACAACACAGTGGGGTTGCTGCAGCCCGTCACCAGGCGTCCCATCTCGATGTGCGCAATGCAGTGGTTAACAGGCACAAGGGGCTTGTTCCACAGCAGAGCCAAAGTCCTCGCAGAGAGGGCCCCCACAGCCAGGGGGGCCCCCATCCCGGGGCCCGCTGTGTAGGCAATGCATGTGATCATGGCGGGCGAAACCCCCGCCTCGTCCATCGCCTTGCGAATCAGCTGCGTCACATTTGCCTGGTGGTGCGCTGCTGTTTCCCGCGGGAGAAATCCTGTGCCCGGGGGGGTGATGAAAGTGGCCCGGGGGTTCGCCAGGATGTTCCCCGAGCTGTCCACTACGCCCACGCCCACTTTGTTCGCGCTGCTTTCTATCCCCAGCACAATCAGCCTTTCTTTCGCAGCTCCTGGCGAGCCTTCATCCTCGGGCTTGCTCGACGTGGGAACCATCTTTGCGATTCTCCCCGCCTTTTCCGGAATCTCCCGAGGCCCGGGAAGGGCAAGTAACTGCAACAAACGCTGGTTTCAGATCACTCGAAGGAAGCGCAACATCGACATGCTCATGCAAACAAGCGCTGGGCCAGCCTCGAGGAAACCGGCCTTTCCAACGGCTTATCTCAAGTTCCTTACAGAGAACCTCACCAACTTCCGAAAATCTTTGAAACCCCCGCCTCACTGACTAAGGAACCCAAGCCAAGAGTTCCGATTGCAGTAACAGTAAGAAGAATCTACAGAGCATGGACCCTGAGGAAGATCCAGAATTGGCAGCAAACTTGAATTGGGGCTTTTCCTATCCATGAGGCTGGTTGCCATTGGATACGGAGCGAAATCACAATTCGAAATGAATGAACAATTCGATTTCTTTCAATAAAGATTAAGACAGAGAAAGAACACAAAAGGTTGCCAACAAGGCCTCTTTCGTGTTTCTCAGAGCTCTACAACAACCCCCGCCAGTCCCATATAGTCTAGGTGGTTAGGATACTCGGCTTTCACCCGAGCGACCCGGGTTCGAGTCCCGGTGTGGGAATATTTCTCTTTGTACAACCCTCATATATCAATAGAATAGAGTCACCTTCCTTTCGGAAAAGAAGAATATTTCTGGTGGGCCCCCTTCTGCTAGTCGGCAGCGCTTTAGTGACCCTTGACATCCCATATAGTCTAGGTGGTTAGGATACTCGGCTTTCACCCGAGCGACCCGGGTTCGAGTCCCGGTGTGGGAACAACTTTACCCTCTACTCCTTTCTCTTGATCCTCTGCTGTCACGCTATTGTGGAGTCGCTTGTTGAAGTTGAAACTGCATGAAAAATCCCTTGGCTGGCTCATTTGTTGGTGATCGGTGTGGACGAGGGAAAATCAGCGATGGCGTGGTGATCTCTCCCATCCCATATAGTCTAGGTGGTTAGGATACTCGGCTTTCACCCGAGCGACCCGGGTTCGAGTCCCGGTGTGGGAAGGTTTTGGACGTCAAATAAACTTTTCTTGGCATAAAAAAATGTCTTCATCCTCGCAATCCATGCAGTTCAGGGCCTTTTGGCCACCGAGTGAAAGAGTGGGTGTTCACTTCCAAGGAGTTGAGGCATCCCGGAAACTCTGCTTTTCTCGGATTTCCTTGGCTTAGTGTTTCAGCTTTTGGATTTTATTCTTTTCCTTTGCAAATTTTCCCTCAGTGAAATGCTGCTAAATTGGGAGGCGGCTTCCGAGTGTTCACCCTATCCCATATAGTCTAGGTGGTTAGGATACTCGGCTTTCACCCGAGCGACCCGGGTTCGAGTCCCGGTGTGGGAACGCTTCGGTTGTTTATTTTGTTACGTTTTGAAGTGAATGGTAGCAGGATCTCTGACAGGGCTTCGGACGAGGAGCAGCCTGGCTGCTTGCTGTTGCCTTTTGTTCATTCTAGTTAAATTGGTTTTTCTTGAATATCGAGGTGAAGAAACACTATCTGAGTCGAAAGAAGCTATGTGATGTGTTAGATCTTTCGGATGGGGGCCAAGCTGGTGTGCCCTGTGCAGCAGCAGCCTCCAGCATTCTTACACACTCATCCTTGTAGAAACCAAATCAAATCAAATATGCAATCAAATCTTTTCGTGTAGCTTCCACTTAGTTGCATGCACCATCTTCTGCTGCTACCGGGGAGCCCCAAGTCAGCGGCCGCCTTCAAGTGAGGCACTGCAGCGATATCTCGGTGCAAAAAATGGCACAGGAATTTGCAAAGAACGCCACTGACACGCAGTCACTGAACAGATTAGCCTCGTTGTGCCAGGCGGTGCTGAATGCCATCGCGATACTACGCTGAATTCTTGAACTGAGCACTTTGTTGCAGAAGCCCTGCTTTAGATGTGAGCAAATGAGTCCACCTGCTCTTGTAAGCAACAACACAAGCTCTAGTGTATATGGAGTGAGCTCGTTTCTGTTCTGAGTCACTTCATAGCGGCTCAGGCAACCCCTGTCCTCGTGAAACTGATGACTGACATATGCAAATTCATTTGCTGGCTACGTAGAACTGATAGTTGCGACTCAAGACAAACGGAGCATAGCGAAACAATTCACCTTTAAGCAGAGGAGAAAATAATGAAACTGTTAGCTATTAGATTCAAGTAGCTTTCCTACAACTATGCAGCGGAGGCAAGGTGCATTCAACTACACCTGCGAGCTGAGCATACACCCCAACGGCACTGCAACCAAATGAAGAGCTCTACATTTTCTTTCGCCAAAAGGAACCAAACGAACCCAACGGATTCATCGAACGTCAGCTATGAAGCATAATATTGCATTATTACTTTTGCTTGCGCCAGCTGCGCATGCGCTGGAGTTTTCTCTTGTTTCCGAATCTTCAAGGCTCGGCCCCCCCGGTCCGTTCAGTTTTCGCTTCTGCCTCCAAAGCCCAGCAGCACGAATTGAATTTACGTTTAGGCCGGCACGGAGTGGCTGCTGCTGCTCTTTTCGACGTGCCTTACGTGTTTGGAGGCTGCACAGTTGAGGGTGAGTGGCCGCATTGCTGGCCAGCGAAAAAGGCTCAGTTTGCGTGGCACTTCGCAAGCCCCTGAGCCCAATGCTTTAAGTTTCTGGTTCCTTTTTCTCTGCTTTCGCCAATTAGAACAAACAATTGTGCTGTCTCCGCGCAGAACTCTGCTCGGACGAGCTGTACGCGTTTCACACTTCAACGAGCTCTTGGGAGTTTCTGCGGGTGCGGGGCGACGCCCCGTCGGCCCGGGGCGGGGCCTCTTTGAGTGGAGCTCGAGGCTTTTTATTTCTTTTTGGCGGAGAGTCGAGCGAGGGGACATTCAACGACGTTTACAAATTCGGTACTGCAGCGCAGCAGAGGCCCCGCAGTGCTTGCTTAGCCCAGAGCCCCTTCAGATGCCACTTGGCGCAAGTGGTACATAGGCGTTGGCCCCGAGAACTTCCGCCCCGGTGAGCCCTTCCACTTAAGCTCTTCAACTGGCCTTTGCATGCGGGGGAGTGCAGAGCCCCGCAGTGGCCACGCTGCTGCCTCAGACGGCGAGAAAGTCTACATATTTGGCGGCTACAACGAGGCAAGAAAGCGTTTTGTCTTGAGTGTTTTCGGCGCATGCAGTTGGCCAGTTTTGCTGTTCATTAAAACTCAACTTGCAAACAGTCCGGGCGCTTTCTTAACGACCTTTGGATCATCGACTTGGACTCCGTGAGAAAACTGTTTTGCAAAAATTATCTTTTCTTCGAAACTGCTGCTTCTTCAGGAGTTGGAAAACTTGAGCCCCGAGCAGTTCCCCGTCCGCTTCCACGCGCTGAGTCGGAGTGAGCAAAATGCAAAACTTGAATTCAAGTCTTTGCCAACTCATGAGGTTTTGTCTCAGGCTCAGGAGACATCCCCAGCCCCAGAGAAGGGGCCACACTAACTTATCTGAGCGGCCACTTGTTTCTTTTCGGGGGTTACGGCGCAGAAGGTAAGTGCCGCTGCTGTCTGTACACCTGGGAGCGCGCCCAGCGGCTGGGGTGTCTCCGCACCTTGTGCAGGTCTTCGCACGAGCGACTTGTGAGAAACTTCTTCTTCAAAACTGTTTTTGCTGCTGCTCAGCGCGCGCAGGTGGGTGTACAGTTTGGCTGAGGACAAGTGGCTGCGGGCGCCTGTCAGGGGCCGCCAGCCCCCCCCCCGGGAAGGTACTTAGTTGAATTTTGAGTTTCGGAGTTTGGGAGATGAGTTTTCGCCAGGCCACTCCGCGCTGCGAAACGGGAGCGACGTAAGGGAAGTGCTTGCTGCAGCTAGCTGCAGCAAGCTGCAGCAAGCTGCTGGCAGTTGTGCTGCGGTAGCTAGGCTGGAAGCTAGCCAGCTAGCTAGCCAGGTGGCGACCCCGCCGGCTAGCTAGCCAGTTGGCTAGCTAGCCAGTTGGCTAGCTAGCTAGCTAGCTGCTGCTGCAGTTTGCTGTTAATATGCTGCGGCATTCCCCGTGACCAGTGGTCCACTCTCGCTGCTGCTACTGCAGATAATTGTCGCTGGAGGCTGCGACTCGCGGCGGACAGTCCAGCGCTGCTACAAGTGAGCAGCAGAGAGGCAGCAGGCCCTCCTTTTCAAGTTAATTGATTTATTCCTTCTGAATTTCCCGCTTTCCTCTCAGTGACGTTTGGCAATTAGATGCAAAGACTTACAGCTGGACTGTCTTGTCCGCTGGGGACCCGAAGTTTGCCCCTCGCGAGCGCCACGGGGCTGTCATTTTAAAAGGCGAGTTGAGAGGAGTTTCTTAACGTTTTGGACTTGTGAAATTTTCGGGAACCTGAGGGGGCAAGGTGCTGCTCTTCTGCGGGCGCAAGCTGGCAGCAGAAGACTATTCAAGTGTCGTTGCCTTCAGCGTCTCCGTGAGTTTTTCTGCAGCAAAGTCTCAGTGGCAGCAGCAAATCCGTAATTGCTTCCAAGTCCTGCGGCGGGGGGGCTGTCTGCTCCGGCAGGGGCACTTGTGCAACAGCTTCCTGCCTCTGTCACCCGGGCTGGGCTTCTCACGACTGCGGGGAGGTCAGTTGCTGCAGCAGCAGCTGCAGCAGCAGCTGCAGCAGCAGCTTCTCAGGACTTCTTCTCTGGATTTGCTGCTCCTCTGCAGGTTTTCGACTGTCCCCGAAAGTGCAACTTCTCCGGAATTTGCCTTAACGGACTCTGTAAATGCTACCCTCGATTCCACGGAAACTCCTGCTACCGCGTGCGTCAAAATGCCCCTGAAACTGCTGCAGAAACCCCACAATTCCTGCTGCTGCTGCTGCTGCTGCAGGTGCTATGCCCAGGGTCGGGGCTGAATGGCATGTGCAACGGGGAGGGCGAGTGTTTGTCTTCGGGTGTTTGCGCATGCAAGTAAGTGGAGGTGGCCTCAACTGCCTTTCTTTAAGTCGAAAACAAATGCAATTGCTGCTTCTAGTCCGGGCTACAAGGGTGGGCTGGCTCATCTAGTGGCTGCTAATGGGGGAAACACTCACAGCCAACTCCTGGG